GGAATGGAGATGCAAATTAATTGGGTGGAGAGAGGTAGGTAGGGAGGGAGGGAGGGAGGGAGGGAGAGAGAGCAGATCCATTCGGCCTCATCGTGGTGGGGAGGAGTGAGCCGGCAGATCCGTGGCCCATATATGGTAAGGAAGTACTTGGCAGCGGGAGGAGGAAATGGTCATAATGGGGGAGGGAAGGAGATGATGGTAATGACTTGATCTAGATCTGAAGAGGAGGATAGAAGGAACGAAGAGCAAATTTACTGGGTGGATGTTGGCACCTTCATCTTGCTTTGATTGGTGCTAGAACTCTTGGGAATGGTGAGCACGAGTAGTTGGGAGGAGCCTGGTGGATATGGTGGACAAGCACTAGACATAGATGAACTCGACCACATGGCATGGATCTGTTCTCACCTTGCCATCGTAAGACAACAGATCCGCCCGGCCTCCTCGAGGTAGGTAGGAGTGAGCCAGTAGATCTGTGGAGCATGAATGCTAAGGAAGTACTTGGTAGTGCGGGGAGGGAATGGTCATGGTGCGAGGAGGGGATGAGATGATGGCAATGTCTCGATCTAGATCTGAAGAGGAAGAGAGAAGGAAGTGGAAGGAATGGAGACGCAAATTAACATGTGGAGGCTCACCTTCATCTTGTTTCAATGAATCCACTCTTGGGATTCGCTGAGAACGAGAGGCGCGGGAGGATCCTGGTGGCGGTGGTGGACAAGCTCGAGATGCAGAGGAACCCAACTACATGGCTTGGATCTGGTCCTACCTTTTTCCTAATAAGAAAACAAATCCGTTCGGTGCTCGTCGTGGTGGGAGGTGTGAGCCGACAAATCTGTGGTACAAGGATGGTAAGAAAGTACTTGACAGAGAGGGGAGGGAATGTTCATGCCGGGAGGAGGGAATCAGACGATGGTGATGGCTCGATTCAGATCTGAAGAGGAGGAGAGTGGAAGGAATGGGGATGCAAATTAATTGGATGGAGGCTGAAACCCTTCATTTGGTTTCGATTGGTTCCGGAACTTCTCTGATTTGATGAGCACAAGCAGCAAGGAGCCTGGTGACGATGGTGGAAAAGCACGAGACGAAGAGGAACTCGGCGACATGGCCTAGATATGGTCCCGCCTTGCCGTCGTGAGGCAACAGATTCATCTGGCCTCGGTGTGGTGGGGAGGATGGAGTCGGGAGATCCTTGGCGCATGGATGGTAAGAGGTTGGCAGTGGGGGGAAGGGGATGTTCTTGATAGGAGGGAGGAGGCGATGGTGATGACTGGATCCAGTTCTGAAGAGGAGAGGCAAATAATTGGGTGGAGGCTGAAAC